CAAACAGAGACCCGATACACGTACACATCCTAATTAATTCAACAATAACTAAATAGTCCATAAATAGATATATACACACTAAAGAAACCTCACTAGACTATAGAGTTGTCTCAACTTGAATAGTAGGTAACGTGCAAAACGCACATATAGTGGGCATGAGTACCTAGACCTACCAGGGTACACAACTACGCTATATCTAGCTACACATCCCTGGCAATATACGCACCCTAACCACTGATCCTGAGACTTAAGCTCATATCATGGCGTATAATTATCTATATAAAATCCGTCCTATCCAATCATCAAAATAAACTATCCAATTATTATTTTAATAATATGTCATCCAACTATTCCGTTGACCTGACACGAATAAGTAGGACTTAACACTATGGTTACTCCGTTCCCTTATTTAAAATAGGTAGGACTTAACTCTTAAGTTAATCCGTCCCTAATATGCCCCAATCCCATAATGGTGCATTAATCCATATCATAATCAAATAAAAATTTCAAATCCAAGGATAATGTCAATAATGTTTCCATATAACAATCCAAATAAATATGATAAAAATCATATACACATCCTTTACATTTACTTGAGCAAAATATCAACTCTAAGTGGCATGCATTTAATTTACATCACAAGAAATTAACATGCAACTCCACTAAATTGTACATCTCCATGCCTTGTTTAAATTAATTTAAATCTAAACAATTGATTAAAATAATTTAACCCAACCATGTTTAATTAATTTATCCTTTTACAATTAAACCCATACTTAACATGTAAACTTAAATTATGCACTTCAATTCTTAATGAATCTATTAAATAAATAAAAATTTAATACAAAATTCCTTAATAACAAAACAATAGCCTCAGTTTAATATCCAACGTTAATTAGTCTAACTTTTAAAATATTTAATGCATAACTGATTTTTGTAATATACCAGATTTCTTGTCTAACAATTTCTCACAATATCAAATTGTTCTAAGCTGACCTTTCCATCCTCGTGCCGCGTGTATGTATTAGAAAGGAAGTGAAATTTCAATTGCAAATACAATGAGATAAACTGAAACATTCCTAAACTGTTCTTCCTCGTTCGGCGTGCATGACAAAACACAAAGTCTCATTATCCTTTAAATTGTAGTCCGATTTTTTATTTAAATCCCTTATCAATGGTTTCCTCGTTCGGCGCGCACAAATTATGCAAAAACACCGTATGACTTTACCTATATATGCATACACCGATTAATATATAAACTGGTTCATTAATTTTCCCTCGTTTCGTGTGCATTCTTTAAGCATGAACAAATTTTGATTTCATATATATATACACAATACTGACACATGCGAGTATTAATTCAAGTAAAATAAAATAAATTAAATTAAATTAAATTAAAAATCAAGGCCACCAATAATGCCAATTCGGCATAACAGATTAATTAAAACCCATTATTAAAACATGAAATACAATTTCCAAATAAATTCATGTAATTAGATTCAATTAATTTATTTAAAGAACTTAGAATTAATCTAGCATGCATAGGGTACGAATCAAAGGAGAAGAGAAGAATTAGAACTTGCCTTTAGGGATTTGATAAAAACCCTAACCTCCTTCTTCCTTTTCCTCTTCCTTCTTTCTCTCTCTAAAATATAGTACGTAATATATTTTCTAACATCTTTCACAACCTTATAATTATATATTTATAGTCAAATAAAATAACACTAATCCTTTTCCCAATCCAAGCCAAACTAATAATAAAAATAAAATAAAATCTAAATACTAAAAAGGTAACTAAAATATATGGTACGTATAATTTATGTGTAATCCTTTTTATATGTAATATATAAATATATATGACTTTCCTTATATATATATATATATATTTATTTATTTATTAAATATACATATACATGGGTAATTATCCGTACTCATTAAACCCCTTATCCAAGTAGTCCATGGAGCCCAATTAGTTGGTCCATTACTACTATTCATATCCAATTCCTTAAAAATATGAAAATAAAAATAAAATAAAACAATTAAATTCCTAAATAAATACACATCATCACACACAATTTCATTTAAACAATTAAATCAATTAACACATTTAACAAATAATTAAATCAATTAAACAAGTAAACAATTTGCCAAGAAATCAACTAAAAAATTAAATGCAATTAAATTAAATGCAATTAAAATAATTTTTTTTTAAAAAAATTACCGAGACTATCATTTTAAAATTAGGGGTATTACAGCTCTCCTCTTCCTTGCTCTTTTCCAAGTTACTTTGAGCTCCATTCATTCCACTAGTTCTCTGGGCCTCTGTTTCCAGTGTATGGCTTCTTGATGTGGAGGCCATATTGTCACTTCAAAGTATATAACGGCTGAAGAGAAAGGATATAATGGCTGAAGAATAGAGACAAAATAATAATTCAATTTAAAATAAAATGGCAGCTCCATTTCCTAAATGGAAAACCATACCATTTCACTTCAACAAAAAATGCAGATTTTGTATTAATGATTTAAATTCTCACATAATCAAGAATTCAATTAGGAAAACTAGTTACATCACTTAAAAAACAAAGTGCATATTTTGTATTACTGATTTAATATCTCATCATATTCAAGCCAGGTATGATTAAAGTCAACCATGCACACAGTACTTCCACAACAAAGCTGAACATTAAAAAGAAATCAAAAGAAGGGAACGCCAATCAATAATTTAGATAGGTAAAAGAGAGCAAAAGGGAATCAACCTATGCAACCAGCAGACCCAATATTCCAAATTAAAGTTGTGCGGAACTAAACTTGTCAGCTCAGAATCATCATATAGAGAGTAATAAAGCCCATACTGATTCCTGTTCAGAAAATAAAAATAAAACAAAATAATAATAAAGAAATGGAAGTAACTGAAAATTCATTGAGATGGCAAAATCTGAGCATCATCAACTTACTTAGTTCCTTTTGGAGGACCTGAGGTCTTGAACTTCTTCTACCATCCCTTCGTTTTCCTTATCCTTCTGATATATATCTGAGGATAGATAATCAACCGTCAACAAAGATGACTTTCTAGATATTTTAATTTGACTAATGGACTCACTTCATTGTGGGTGAGGAATGAAAGATATATCGGTCAGCAATAATTATTGTTTCTTTTAATTTCATTGCTCTGAAATAGCTTACTGTAACAGCGACGTTATTTGTCCCACTTTGAATTCAAATGAAAAAGTGAACGGATATAAATGGGTGAGTATAGCGTACTACCCAACAAATTGAGCTTTTGGGTAAATCTCCATCGTTTGCAGTAAGAGGATCCGCCCCGCCCTCTGCAACGCCGACTGCGAGCTCGTCGGCGACAACAATCGAGGACTCCCTGTGATTCGCTTCTTGTAATAAACCAAGAACTCAGAAAGTACATAACACAGATTTTCGAGCTTGACGACGAAACTTCCGTCGGAGGAGACAGAATATGATTTGATGGTCGGGAGGCCAAATTTGGGTACCATTTCGTAGGATGTTGGGGGATCGGCGGAGGTGAAATTGGCCGGACTGAGAGGATGTAGAGAGAAGAGAAGGCAACCCAGATGGGGCTTTTTTTAGATTGGGCGCCATGGTTTCTGACGGGAATTTAGAAAGAGAAATGTGGACGACAGAGTGGGTGTTGAGGGCCTGTTTGAGAGGAGATGGTACGGTTGGGTTTACTGTGATTCAGTGACAATGGGTTTACCACATCAATTGCAAAATATATATATATATACACATAAAGACATGGGAAGCTTAGGAGAGAAGGCTACCAAGTTGAGTTATGATCTGAAAGTTGAAGAGGGTTCTACTTGGAATTGATTTCACCCATTTGGTTTGGCTAATGCATGGGGTTATTTTGGTCAGTTACAATAAATTGTTTTAATAAAATATTGTTACTCTATAAAGGGACAAGATTGTTCCTTGGTAAACATTGTCTTTGCCTCTGTTGGGCTAGGCCCAGTGTTCAGATTTCATTGTTAGTATTTTGTTGGGCTCTGTCCACTATTCATGGGCTGGTCCTATTATTTTGGCATGACTTGTAAAGTTCTTACTCATTTATACAATACTTACCTTTCCAAAAAAATAAAAAAAAGATTGTACATTGGTTTGTAAGTTTCTCCGATAAAGTAAACACATTCTTTTACACGACCCGACTAGGCCCTCCTCTCTTTTTTTTTTTTTTGAGGATAGTGAAGTTATGCTATTAAGTGTAATAAGAGTTATTTGTCGCATATCGAAACCAAATGAGAAAGTGATTGGGTATAAATGGGTGGATATGCAGTACTTCTTAACAGTTTAAATTTTTGAATAAATGGACAAGCGCTCACCCGTTCAATTATTATCAAAGGCAAACCCAATCCTTAATTCAGTGTCACGCCAAGCACCTAACTCGGAGGGCATCCAGGTTTGCAGCCTCGATAGATAGGATGGCCTGAACCGCAATGACGGTGTTGCGAATTTGGATGTGGGAGAATACCCCGAACTATCGAAAGTCTTCAAATTTTGGAAGTGTCCAATATGAAAAGTTCACCCTCCTGAGGTGGTTACTCAGTTGTGGTACTCATAAAGTGAAACTTTGAACTTCAAATGCGACCAGCCCTAGTGTTCATTTTACCTTTTTTTTTCTTAATTGGCGAAACATTCCACTAGTTGATGTTGCAGGTATGGCTAGTTTGTTGGTAAATATTTTTGTCCTATTTACTTGATGCATCCTCGCCAATTTTTTCAGTTTGAACCTTTATCCAATATAAATAAATCTATGTAAGCTTCTAAAAAAGAATATATATCTATGTTCAAGTCTACACGCATATTTATATATTTTTTTGTCTGAATTAATGTTAAAACAAAAATGGAACTTTAAACCTGGATTAATAGACCATAAAATAATGCACTTGCCATCAAATATCACCATCTTTTGTTACGAGAGCTTGGTAATGCTCTTCATCTTCTTTGTGTTCTTTTTAGTCCAGTTCATATGTATCTCAAACTCATAAAACAAACTTTTTTATTTTATTTTATTTTTCTGGTTAGTAAAATCCTAAAACAACTTATATTCACATAATTATCAGAACAACATAATTGCAATCTTTCACAATTTTTTTTTTTGAAGAAATGAAAACACAAAAAAAGAATAGAAGAAGAAAAAATTACTAAGATGAAGCGCTCATGTGAAGTGCTACCAAGGAGGCATAAAAACCATCCTTGATATTGATCAAAGCATCATGTTTCCCTTTCTCCACGATGGCTCCATTTTTAACTACCAGAATAACATCCGCGTTCTTGATGGTCGACAATCGATGTGCCACCACCACTGTAGTTCGGTTCACCATGACTCGGTCTAATGCATCTTGAACCACTCTCTCGGATTCAGCATCCAGTGCACTAGTAGCCTCATCCAGCAGTAGTATCTTTGGACTTTTCACGATGGCCCTTGCAATAGCCACACGCTGCTTCTGCCCACCAGACAATTGAACTCCTCGCTCTCCTACTATCGTACTATACCCCTGCATTTTTGCATGATTGCAGGGTGAAAAATGTTCAGTATCCTTGCAATTCTATTAAACACATCAAAGAAGGCCAATACAGAAAGTGATAAAACAAAAAGTTGTTCCGAAAAATACCAGACAAAGAAAACAAGAATACGAGTAATAACACATATTTATGTTGTTCATCCAAAACTAGAGCCAAGTCTACAGAGTCGCAGAGATTTAACTATGATGAAGAACAAACGAATTTCAGTGTGTTTATAATGATGAAAACCATCCCCTACCCTTATAGAATTAGAGCTACATAACGCGTGGTAGTTCAGTACTATTACGCTTCACATGTCCTATCAAAAGTTTCATTTCCTTTTGCGTACCACAACTATTTATTAGTAAGTATTCAATTGACAGTAACTTGCAGCTTGATTAATTGATTAACTGCAACAGATTGAGAGTGTTGTAACCTGTTGTAACCCACTAATGAATTTGTGGGCATTTGCCAACTCCGATGCAGCTAAAATTTCTGCCTCAGAAGCATTTCCTTCTTTTCCGTATGCAATGTTAGCACGTATTGTGTCGTTAAACAAGACAGGTTCTTGGCTCACAAGACCCATCTGCTGCCTCAACCACTTCAACTGGAACTTCTGAATATCAATTCCATCAAGCAAAATATGACCTGAATCAAGATCGTAAAATCTTTGCATTAATGAGATAACTGTTGATTTCCCACATCCACTTTCCCCAACCAGAGCGACTGCCTGAAAGACGAAATCCAAAGAGCTGATCACTTAGTTGTATGTATGATGACACAAACACTACATTTTCCTTAAAAATTGGAACTAGGAACGCAAAAATTCAACATCTGGCCTAGACGGGTACTTAAAGCTAACGTGCCGAAACTCAATCTCTCCCTTGATGTTCTCTAGTTTAATCCCAGACTCATCGCTTGGGTCTATCTTCGACTTCCTGTCTAGGATGGCAAATATGGAAGCAGTAGCAGTTTTGGCTTTGCTGGAATCAGGGGCTAAGGAGCTTGACTGAGAAATAGCAAGAGATGCTATGGATAGAGCAAAGAAGACCTGCAATGCAAACGGATATCTCAGAATTACAGAATCATGTATGGTATAAAAACCTCCGTGTCAAGCTTCTCTTAGCCGGCTGGATATCGAGTAAAATGGAATGAATAAAAAAAACAGCACTTGAACGATGCTTTGAATAGTGTTATTTCAGAGAATATGGAACCTGGGGCCGGGCTCCATACAGAAGTACAATTCAAAGATGGCTTAAGAATGCATTGGATGGATGCCCAGGCATTGAGAAGGAAGGAGCGTTCATTGACGCTGCCACCAAAATGTTGCAATGGGGGGAACCATGACTAGATTTGACATGGGAGGTCGCAGAGGCCGCGGAGGAGTGAAGCCATGGCCCCCGCTGAACCAGCGAAATATCGGGTAAAATTTTAGTAGAACATTAGCACTCAAATATTCACTTGGAAGACTTTTGGAAATATATGGAATATACTTACACGGAAAACATCGGAGAATGTTGTTTTTCCATCCTCAACAAGCCGGGCTCCTGCATAGAAACTGGTTGCATAGACACAAAAAAACAAGGCAAAGGATACCCCAAAACCTATCCCACTAACCCACCCTAGCCTTATCCCTGTCCTCATAGGGCCCTCACATTTCCTTTTGTAAAGTTCCATCACTTTCTCTTCAGCACAAAAAGAAGCAACTGTTCTTATACTTCCGACTGCATCATTAGCAACTTGGCTCGCTTCCTCATACATCATCTGTAACCATTTAGATTTGAAAGCTTTTGAGAAATTGTGTAAATAATAACAACATTGTTCAAACTTCAACGACAATTTTCAAAATGGCTGTGCTGAATGCATAAGACAATTATTGGCAGTTCTAAATGGGTAACTGCAATATTTTGAATCTCAAAGAATATTTATGTTCTTTTCAAATTCTCTTAGATTAGAAAAACTTTTTTGAAAATGTTGCAGAAATGAAGTGTGTAATCAAGCATGAGTTTGAAAACAAGCCTTTGCATCTGCACTGAACCCTTTCAAGAACTTCACTTGAACATATCCACTAACTCCTATTAGTGGTAGCAAAGCAAGGATGATAAGCGCCAACTGCCAACTTGCTACAAAAGCAATGGCCAAACCTGCAGCTGCAGATGCAGCATTCTGAGCCACCTGAGCAAGTGCGTCTCCAACTAAAGCTCGCACACTAGCTGCATCTGCAGACAGCCTTGCACCAATCGCTCCACTTGAGTGCTCGGGCTCATCAAACCAACCAACCTCCATATGAACCACCTTCTCAAAGCACATTGACCTGATCCGTGTTATTAACTTACTCCCAGCCACAGAAAAAAAGTATGTCTGTGCTGGATACACCAGTAATGATACCAATCCCAAAATTACAAACATTAGGGCCCAAAACTTTGAATCCTTTCTTAGTTCACGTGGAGGCTCATAAAATGTTTTGATCATACTTGAAATTAGTACACTAAAGACTGGAAATAATGCACCATTGATGACTGCAGATATGGCTCCTGCTATCAGAACCGGAACCTCTGGCTTGTTGAGATAGGCAAGGCGGCGGAGTGGAACTTCTGGACGCTTTTCCGACAGTTTTGGTAGTGAGTGGTGGTTGCTGCTTCCTGCTCCAGATGAGCCCCAACTTGTGGAACGCAGGAATGACATTTGTTGCCTTGACCGTCTACCACATTCCGTAGTAATTTTTGACTTGTCTTGCTCAACTGCATCTTCTTGTTCTGAATCTTTGTTGACTTCTTGCAATTGTATGAGCTGAGAGTATGCTCCATCAGGATCCTTGAGTAGTTCAAAATGTGAGCCTGTTCAATTAACAAATATGAAACTAATTGATATGTATTTCCCTCTGATCTATCAGAACCATGGTGAAAACCAATTAAAAAAAAGAAAAAAGAAAGGAAGTTGAGATTTAGGAACTAAATTAGGAAATTTTCAAAATTTTATAATTACTGGAAATTTTCATTAGAAGGTATGTATATTTTTGGAGAAAAAAAAATTTCATTTGTGCGAAAACAATTTATAATACTATAGTAGAAAGATAACAATGTGTAATACTACAGTACAAAGAAGCATATCTTCCAGTGTAACTACTCGGAAGTTGGATTGAATTGGGCATTTTCTCAAAAGTTGGAAATTCGTTACAGAATACCCAAGAAAACTATAAGTCCGTTAAAAATCATACCACCACCAGTTGAGACTAGAGATGAAATCTTTATACTTTCTCTATATCTAAGCTACCTTTTTCAACCATCTTTCCCTGATGAATCACGGCAATCATATCAGCATTCCTCACTGTGCTCAAACGATGGGCAACAATAACTGTTGTTCTGTTGACCATAATCCTATCTAATGCTTCTTGCACAATCCTTTCGGATTCAGCATCAAGTGCACTTGTTGCTTCATCAAGAAGTAGAATTCGTGGATCTTTCAGAATTGCTCTGGCTATGGCAACTCGTTGCTTCTGTCCGCCAGACAGCTGAGTTCCGTGCTCACCCACCATGGTTTGTAGTCCCTAAATTAAAATTTAAAATTCAAAGGCAAACTAAGAATTCACGTGTTCATGAAAGTGAAGAATAATGCTGAAAAAGTAACAAAATGGGCACAAAGCAAGAACCTGAGGCAGTTTATCAATAAACTTGGCAGCATTTGCTATCTCAGCTGCTGCTCTAATCTCCTCAATTGTTGCCCCATCCTTCCCATACGCAATATTATCCTTAATGCTGACTGCAAACAACACTGGTTCTTGACTGACGAGACCAATTCTCTCCCTAATCCATTTAAGCTGGAACTCTTTTAGATCAATTCCATCAATAAGTACTTCACCAGTTTGTGGATCATAAAATCTCTCTATCAGACTGATCACTGTTGACTTCCCGCTTCCACTCGGCCCAACCAAAGCTGCAGTTGTGCCACTAGGGACAGAAAGAGAGAATGCACTGAATATTTGCTCATCTGGTCTGGTTGGATAACTAAAATGGACATCTCTTAACTCTATGTCTCCACTAATGTCATCCAATATTTTTCCCTTCGTGTCATATGCATCTATCTCCGGCTTCCTATTAATAGTCTCAAACATCTTGAATGCTGCAGCTTGACCTGCAGCAAATGCACTCATGCAGGGAGATGCCTCCCCTAAAGACCTGAAATATACACATTGCAGCAAAAAGACGTAAATAATATGATTTGCTTCCAAACTGACAAACTCAAGCATTAGGATAAAGTGTTTTCCTTTATGTGGTACTAAAAAACTATGGGCCTGCTTGGTTCAATTTTCTGAGAATAGTTTTCTGTTTTCATGGGATTGGAAATCAGAAAATTGTACAAAAATTCTGCTTGGTTCAAGTTAATGAAACTCAGTTATAAAAAGACTTGTTCTCAAAGAACTATAAAAAACAGTTATCTAAAAATAGTTTTCTGTTTTCTTAGTTCTTGAAAACTGTTTTCAGAAAACTGAACCAATCAGACCCTAGCAACTTCATTAGAAACTACACAAAAAGGTAAAAAATAAGCAATCCCACTCACATGGAACCAGTCAATAGAGCAACAATTACAGTGAGCACTTCACCCCCAGTATATCCTTTTTCTAGTATCATCTTGGCACCAAACCATACAGCCAAAGCATAACTGCAGAACATGATAAACATAGCTGTTCCTGAACCTAATCCAGCAGCCAAGCCTTCGTGAACACTTGACTTGTAAGCACTTACAAGAGATCTATTGTAATTAGTCACAGCTTGCTTCTCCCCAGTAAATGATGCAACCTAGGTAGTAGCCAAATGGGAACCAATTCACCAAGTCAAAAAACAGCAAAATTAAACACAGTTTATTGAAAGAATTTGATTCTGGGATAGTGACATACAGTTCTGATTGAGCCAAATGTCTGTTCAACTACAATTGCTGCTTTCGCGTAAGCATTTTGCCCACGGGATGCCATCCTGGATATGACGAGGGACATGGCTCCACCAGCTATTACAAGTAGAGGAACGGATGATAACATGACAAGTGTAAGAAGCCACCCTTTGATAAATGCTATTACAAAGCCTCCAAAAAATGTAGATACCAATTGTAAAAATTTCCCAACCTGCAGTAAAACAAGATATTGTGATACACATTAAAGAAGAAGTAAAAAGAAAAGCATATTAACTTGGCCACTATTAAGTAGTGGGAATATGGTAAATGTAGTTTTAGCAGTGTAACCTTTTCACCCATAGCATCTTGTATGAGAACAGTATCACCAGACATCCTCCCAACAACTTCACCTGTATTTGTTTCCTTGTCAAAGAAAGTAATATCTTGTCTCAATATAGTTTTCAGATAAAGATTTCTTATTCGTGCAGCTTGTCTCTCTCCAGTGATCATCCAGCAAGCCACCTCTAACAAACAACAGACACATATACGCTTTTAAATCTTGATGCCAATAGTTCAAAACTCTCTTTGCATATAAATCTTCTTTCTCTGCATTTTTTTTTTGTCAAAATAATTTAAAAGGGTTAGATGTATCATGCACTTACGGAGGAATGATGCCGCACCAGCCCCCAAAGCCAAGTAGACAAATTTCAGTGATACCTAAAAAGTAAGTAGGTAAAGACAATGTTATACTGGAATTGAGAGCAACTATCAACCAAACTAGCATTAGAACGAATTATCAGTGAGAATTTGATAGCATAAAACTGCAATATCAAGTATGCAATTCTTTTTTCTTTTTTCTTTTTTTTTTTCACAATACAAACGGAATAAAATCTAAAATTTTAGGCTTTATCGAGCGATTTTTACCTTAGAAACTACACTAACCACATCTTTGCTATTTTGGGTTTGTCCAAAAGAATTAATCAGATCCCCAAAAAGAATTGACACAAGGGGCATGCATAACCCATTTGCGATGGCACCAATGGTACCAGCAATCATCAACATAACATCAGCAGAATCTGCAAATGAGAATAGCTTGAAAAATGGGACTGTATTGGTGCTCTCCTCTTCCTTGCTCTTTTCCAAGTTACTTTGAGCTCCATTCATTCCACTAGTTCTCTGGGCCTCTGTTTCCAGTGTATGGCTTCTTGATGTGGAGGCCATATTGTCACTTCAGAGTATATAACGGCTGAAGAGGAAGGATATAATGGCTGAAGAATAGAGACAAAATAATAATTCAATTTAAAATAAAATGGCAGCTCCATTTCCTAAATGGAAAACCATACCATTTCACTTCAACAAAAAATGCAGATTTTGTATTAATGATTTAAATTCTCACATAATCAAGAATTCAATTAGGAAAACTAGTTACATCACTTAAAAAACAAAGTGCATATTTTGTATTACTGATTTAATATCTCATCATATTCAAGCCAGGTATGATTAAAGTCAACCATGCACACAGTACTTCCACAACAAAGCTGAACATAAAAAAGAAATCAAAAGAAGGGAACGCCAATCAATAATTTAGATAGGTAAAAGAGAGCAAAAGGGAATCAACCTATGCAACCAGCAGACCCAATATTCCAAATTAAAGTTGTGCGGAACTAAACTTGTCAGCTCAGAATCATCATATAGAGAGTAATAAAAACCATACTGATTCCTGTTCAGAAAATAAAAATAAAACAAAATAATAATAAAGAAATGGAAGTAACTGAAAATTCATTGAGATAGCAAAATCTGTGCATCATCAACTTACTTAGTTCCTTTTGGAGGACCTGAGGTCTTGAACTTCTTCTACCATCCCTTCGTTTTCCTTATCCTTCTGATATATTTCTGAGGATAGATAATCAACCGTCAACAAAGATGACTTTCTAGATATTTTAATTTGACTGATGGACTCACTTCATTGTGGGTGAGGAATGAAAGATATATCGGTCAGCAATAATTATTGTTTCTTTTAATTTCATTGCTCTGAAATAGCTTACTGTAACAGCGACGTTATTTGTCCCACTTTGAATTCAAATGAAAAAGTGAACGGATATAAATGGGTGAGTATACGTACTACCCAACAAATTGAGCTTTTGGGTAAAGCTCCATCGTTTGCAGTAAGAGGATCCGCCCCGCCCTCTGCAACGCCGACTGCGAGCTCGTCGGCGACAACAATCGAGGACTCCCTGTGATTCGCTTCTTGTAATAAACCAAGAACTCAGAAAGTACATAACACAGATTTTCGAGCTTGACGACGAAACTTCCGTCGGAGAAGACAGAATATGATTTGATGGTCGGGAGGCCAAATTTGGGCACCATTTCGTAGGATGTTGGGGGATCGGCGGAGGTGAAATTGGCCGGACTGAGAGGATGTAGAGAGAAGAGAAGGCAACCCAGATGGGGCTTTTTCTAGATTGGGCGCCATGGTTTCTGACGGGTATTTAGAAAGAGAAATGTGTACGACAGGGTGGGTGTTGAGGGCCTGTTTGAGAGGAGATGGTACGGTTGGCTTTACTGTGATTCAGTGACAATGGGTTCACTACATCAACTGCAAAAAAACAAAACATATAAGTCGCCCAACAGTGGCCTAACCGTCCGTTGTAATTTGATTGGTCAGATTGAGGTTGTGCTTTTGTTTTTCTTGTTTATAGTGAAAATATAATTTTGAGTTCTTTTTTAATAGTTAAACGGTTGTTGTAGTTTCTCTTTTCTTTTAAACCGGTCGTCACTTTTTTTTTTTTTCTTTTCCATTTTCCTCTTCATCACCAATCTCATTCCACAGTTGCCCCAGTTCTTGCCGAGCTCAAGACCAAACACCAGTGTTGTCAAGGTACAGGTGCAATTTTTCACACCCGAATACTTAAGAAAATATATCTCAAAAAGATTTTGAGCAAGAGAATAGAAATAATGTGCAATTTATATCTCAAAAAGATTTTGAGCAAGAGAACAGAAATAATGGGCAATTTTGACAGTAAGAGTAGTATGATTGGGATTCGATGATCTTCTCTTATTATTCATGCTTTATTTATAAGCTTGTAAAAAGATTTACATGGAGCATTTTTTGGACTTGGGCGTTTATGGCCTCTTATTTTGCGACATTCTCTTTTATTGTGGACGTTATGGAAATCTGAGTTTGCCAAACTTGGGCCCTTTCGTGGTCTGCTTCATGTCAAGTGGAGCTTCCTTCATTAATAGGGCCGACTTGACATTCTTATGGACCTTTCTTATTGGGCTTCTTGCTTGTGCTGGGCTTCAGGGTGATTTTGGATAGTAATGGGTTTTACACTCATTGATACGTAGTGTATTGTGATTGGTGGGAAATTTTTCCTCCACATTTGGCCCCCAATTCCTTTTACGATTGGAATTCATGTATGAAATTGTAACTGTTTTCAGGTAGTGGGAAGTTTCTGCGGCTGTTACTGCTTATCATTACCATTTATGCTCCCGATTTTTGGGGTCTCGTGCTTGCCTCTTCGTTTTTTGCTTCACCTTGTTTATATATTGCGTTCTCATCATTCGGATATTTGCATCTGTGATCTCGTCTTTGACTTAAGCAAGAACCTGCTTACCGCTACATAATCCTCTTTTCGTCTATTGAGGTTAGTCATTCTTCTATTCCTTTTTTCTATCATTATGAGTCAAGAGAGTAGTGAACGAACTTATAGCGTTCGTGCGTCCAATTCTGAATTGGCGACGTTGGCGGTGAGTTCGAGTGGTCATGTTGAAGGTCCAATAGTTCTCCCTCCGGATATTGTAGAGGGAGTCTTTTTCTGTTGCACAATTAAGAAAGAAAATTCGTGTCCCTTCTGATGTTACCCTAGAAACGTATGATCACGATTTGAATTTTAGTACTGGAGAGGGTTTGGGAGAGGGAGAGATGCTCTTCCCGGCTTTGCACTCCTCTGCTTTTCTATTTTTCCTTAACCTTTTCTATTTTCGGGTCCTGTCGATGTTGAATTTGGCTCCCCTTCAGCTTAACCCTAACTTTTTTTGCACTCTCTCTTGCCTTTTTGCTTTGAATAGTGTTGGAGGTTTGACCTTAAATCTTCCTGACCTTCTATTCTGCTATACGCTCAATAGAATAAAAGGTGAAGAGGGTATATTTCACTTCCATTCTAAGACGGGTAGGTACCTTTTCTCTCATCTTAACACTTCTGATAAGTAATAGAAAGATGGAATGGTTAAAGTCGGAGGGGCGTGGCGCTTCTCTTCCGCTCAAGATTTTTCTATCCAAACGAGCTTTCATGTTCCATCTGTTCCTGCATTCGATGATTCGGGTGAGTCTTCTTGCTTTGTTTGTATCGTAAAGCATTTTTGTTATATTTATGACTTCTTGGGCCATAAGATTGACTTTTTTTCTTCGAAATTTGCAGATATCCGACTTGAATATTTGCAAGTGAACATCTGGGGTGACGTTCCTTCCGCTCAGATCTGGCTTTCCTCTTCCTTTCTTTAGGCGATCTCTTGAGACTCCCCTGTGATTGTTCAGAATGCCGAGGTGACTATCAACCTTAAAGCCTTTGATACCGAAACTGATTTTGTTTTGCCTGCCCCTCTTCTTCTCTCCCAATGGGCAATGGAACTTCCTCCTCCCAAACCCCGTATAACTAGGAAAAGAGAGGAAGGCGGCTGCTAAGCTGCTGTAGGAGAGGAAGAATGCCCTTGTTGAGGCGAGTAAGTTCTCTCCTTCTCAGAAACAGAAGGGGGTTTAGTCTAGGCAAGGGTACAAGCGCCCTTCTACGAAGAATGATCCTCCTTCCAAATGCCCAAGCTTATGGTTAGGGCTTTCAGGGGCAAAGGTGCCCTAGTCCCTGCTGCTGCTGACGTCGCAGGGGGTGACTTTATATGGGGTCCGCCGAAAGGTGGTTTCTCGATATGCTAAAGGCTAATGGCTCTTCAATCACCCTTGGTGATTCTGGAGCCGAGGACCCAAAGACATTGATGGGTTTGGCAAGAGGGATATGGCCACCTGGGGACGAGATTCTACAAGAGCAGATGAGTGTCGATGACCTCCTTTCTCTTGCTCCTAAGTCCATCATGGAGGTAATTTTACTCACTTTTTTTTTTTTTTTTTTTTTTTCATGTTTCGATAATATGCTACTTTCCTTTTGTAGAGCTCTTTCTTGATATTTGCCTTTATGAAGAAGTTTTCAGCTGATTCTCTTTAGGTAAACCAAATAGTTGCCCTTCAAAAGAAGGTAGATTCTCTGGAGGCTTCTCTTACTAAGGCTAAGAAGGAAAAAGCTAAGCAGCTCAAATCAATTGAGTATTTTGATAAAAGGGTCAACGAGCTTGAGAACAAAGCAGCCAAGCTTGCCTTACAGCTCGGGAAAATGAATTCCCTCATCCAAACCTGCAAGGATGAGGGTTTGGAGATGTTTACTCGCTTATCTCAAATTGCGAATATCTGCTATGCCAAGGGATTCAGGCTTGGCTCTACTTAGGGGCATGTGCAACTTCTTTATAAAAAGAGGGATTATGGTGATGCCAACGAACATGACGCTGAGTAAGGGCTCCTAATTACCGGGGAGTATGTTAAGCCTCCTACTGATGAGCTCTAAAAAGTATGCATTTAAACCCCTTAAGCTCGAGTATTCTAGGACCTTTATCTATTTTATTTTCCCGTTTTAGATTAATTCCATGTTATTGCCCTTTTCAGGTGCTGATCCCCAAAATAAGTCAATTCAGCTAAATTAGAGCATAAAAAAAGCTATCTCAAGCTAAATGGAAGAAAGGAGCAAAAAAGAGGAAAGTGGTGGAAAAACAACAAGGTTCGATCGATCAGACATACCTTCGATCGATCTCACTATGATCGATCCAACCTCACCAAGATGGATTAAACCCCTTGTCCTTATCCTCAAGAATTTCCATCTTCGATCGATCCAACTTTCATTTCGATCGATCGAAGTTCTTTGATCTTATCCCCACCTACCACTTTTATCTTTTTCCCAAAATATCCCAAAAATATCTCAGACTTGTCCTATTCCAAAAAGGTGCCGCCAAGGTTTGATCGATCCAGCCATCGATCTCATCACACTTCGATCGATCTCACCACAATTCGATCGATCGAACTTTCTCAAATCCGAAATAAAACAGAGTCCAGCTCATTTAAAGATGGCTCGTGGTGCAATCATTGAGGGGACCCTAATGCACGAGACCTGACCATTTGGTGTGACACTTGAGCTACCTATATAAGGATTTTGAGCCATTTTTACATCATATCTATGATAGAGGATCATAAAAAGCAAGAAGAGAAGAGGAGAGAGCTTAGAGATTAGAGATACATACACTACTTGGGAGTTCTTCCATTCATTTAGGGTTTTCATCAAAGAGGAAATATTTCCTACCAGGGTTGGATGACTACATCAATGAGTGGCTAAACATCTTTTTGGGGCTAGAGTTAGCCCTAAGCATGCCTTCTAGATCTTGATGTTTTGTATTTTGAAGGGATTTGTGTTATAATCTTGTCTTGACACTTGATTTATATATGAATCTTGTTTTTACAATGATTTATGTTGTTTAATACTTCCAATTGATCATTTCATTCTATCAATATGTCTATGTATGCTAGAATAGATGTTCATGTGTTTATCTTTTGGTTTTGTGACATTGATGCATGTTTATGTGTGTAGATACTAAGAATCTAGAGATTGTCAAGGTATAGTGCTTAAATAGAATACTTTTGTGGTTTGTTTGATGGTTCATACTCATTTCTTGATGGATTGTGCCTATACCTTAGCTTAATTAGTCTAATTTTCATGCCTCTAGCTTAGTTGTAGTGTAGTTGCTTTATTTTCCTAGATGTGAGGACAATCCATGCTTGTTGTTTGATGTTCCATACTTATGACTGCAAATAGTATAATTCTCTAACTTGTTAATGTGTGATTGTGAGCTTAAAGGAATGAATAATAGCTTAGTTAGATATATTGTGCTATTCACTAGGTGGTCTAGACAATATATGCTTAATTAGTCAATCCATGCTTGTTGATTCAATCATTCACACCTTCTTGTATTGCAATACATATTTCCCCTCATTCATAATATATTGAGTATCTAGAATGGTGATGTTTAGTGGTGACCTCTAAATTTCAAAATTCCTCACTCTTGTTCTTTACCCCTTTATTTACTTTAGTTGTTTTATATTGAGTTTATCTACATTGTAGTTTAATTAATCAATCAAACCATCTTTTGATCACTTGACCTACTAATCCGACCTTGTTTTCATAACATTTTGCCCTAGATCCCTTGGGACGATCCCTACTTACCCAAACTATATTAGTAATTAGAGGAAGTAATGGCACTTTACAAATTTAGACTTGGCCACTCTTTAGCACATTTAAGTTGGTTGCCCACGACACCACCACCTACTAGACCTAGGGAGATTGAGTTTGCTGCTATGTTGAAGGGTGTGGTGGCATCTGAGGTTTTACCCCCCTTCAGTATCCCTCAAGCTCTTTAGGCTTGTCGTTCTTGGCTATTGATGCCCCTTTTTCTACTCCAGTTAGAGTAAAACTGGCTGACGCTTTCACATAGAAGTTTAACGTGG